AAAAAAATGACTATTTAAAAAAAAACTACTCAGATTCTATACACATTCTGGTTGGCGAGTGTTTTTGCTTTACCTTTAAAAGAAATTAGCTGCTAGCAATGGTAGTCCAATAGTGCATTATCGGCATGCCTTGGATAAGAAAAACCACTGACTTCTGTTCAGCGGATCACAGGCAAATCAAAGGCCTTGACTCCACATGAAAGGACTGATGAATGTTTACTTGTATGGTATAAAGCCAAAACAGAATGTATACATACATGTATATTTGTAATGATTCCTCGAAAAAATTATCACAGCACAGAAAGGTATATGCACAGCACAGCTACAACGGGCACTTAACAAAGCAACACTGACTAGTGAGCAACCAAATTGTGGCACTGGCCCGGGAGGGGTTGGGAAATATGCACATGTGTGTGCACACATGCTGGTCTCAGGATGAAATGGTGCTGAATTGCTCAGTTCTTACCTTCTCAGAAGATATGGGGTGAAATCTAAACTTGAAAAAATAATCAAAAAATAGCCACATGATCCTATTTGTAGAAACATGAAGGAAGTATCAAAAGAAGCTTCAAAAGAAGACTGAGATCCCCCAAGGGAAGAAAACCTGGAGTACAGAACACGGCGAGGTACAGGAAAGATTTCCAGGAGAGTGTCTGCTAAGAGGTGCTGGGCACAGTGGGGCAGGGCAGCCTGCCCTGCCTGGGGGCGAGGGAGGGCGGGGAACGCTTCCCCCACTCACCTGCACAGTGACCATCTGACGTCTCTCCGTCCACTACCCAAGGGTCCTTCCCTTGCTCCAATAAGGAGATCATGTTGGGCTTAGAAATTGAGAGCCCTGTTGACGGGAGAAGAAAAACGAGACAGACAGATGTACAAATAGGCTAAGCTGTTCCAGAACTCCAGTTCAATCTCTTGGTCTTGGGCAAGAAAAGACATTTTTAGAGAAAGGGCCAAAGAATGGAACGATGCTGTATGGAGGGTGAAAAGCTTTAAGCGCCATTACCTAGGGACTCAGACACGCCCACTCAGGCCTCGACCCCTAAGCTGCTAAATCAAAAACCACAGTGGTTCTGAACTTTAATGGCCATCAGAATTAACTGGCAGGTTCGTTAAGACCCAAACTCTTGGGCTTCTTCCCAGAGTTTTCTGATTCTGTAGGTCTAGAGTAGGAGCCTATATTTTCAGTTTATCCCAAACTGACACTGCTGTTCCCAATTATCGCTTGTCAACAAAAGGAACTACTCATTTCTAATTTGATCAAACTATTTCAAATCATTTCCTGGGAACAGGAAATAGAAATTCAGCTAAGTGTTTAAGATGCCCTAGGTATTCCCAATGAAGGAAGCAAAAACACCCCAGAGGGAAGATTTTGGAGATGGGACAGATATCCTTACCAAGCCATACCAAGTTCCTGTAGTTCTCCAACATGACTTCCCTATATAAATCCTTCTGAGATGGGTCCAGCCATTCCCACTCCTCTTGGGAAAAATCCAGAGCCACATCCCTGAAGGTCACCAAACCCTGAAATTAAAAAACACACATTCTTGTTTACCATGTGGTTCTGGCAGAAAAGATGAATTCTGCCAGAGGTCAAATCTTTACAGAAAATAATTACTGTGGAACCAGTACAAGAGCAGGTTTGTCAAGTGGTTGGAGAGAAAGAAGTACTAGAAATACATGCACTTCTTGAAAATATTATACCTTTGTGAATGAGAAAAAATAAAGACGGAAGAAATTGAGCTTACAGCACAAGACATGAGTGTGTAAGACATGCCACAAGGGCTGCTTTATGCTACATACACTCAGTACCAAGAAATTCTAAACACAGACGTCTTTTATATTCCCTAGGCTGAGATAATGGCCACGGTCAGGTGGTAAAGGAAGACCTTGAATTGGGCTTTAACAAAAGGGTGTAACCATAAATTTAGGGCCTCTATATACGCGAAGAACTCTCCAAGAATGTATCCTGGAATGAAGGATCTGTGGAGGGCCTCCATGGTGGCCTATGAGTGAAGTCTCTGCACTGCCATCTATATAGCCCTTGGCCATGGCCTGAGTTCAATCCCCAGCAAGGAGCTGGCCCACAGGGCGCAGCAGACCTCTCCTGTCTTCCTGCTGCTCCTCTCAGCAGTGGGTTTCAGTGGATCTGCCTCTTCCGTCCCCACTCTGTCTCTGGTCATCACCCCCACCCCACACCTCTGGCCTATACCCTAGCTCTTCTACGCAGAAATAAATAAAATCTTTAAAAGTAAATAAATAAAACATCAAATAGTTACTCGAATAGTAGAAATATGGATCAATGTGGCAAAAGGAAAGAAGCCCCAGCACTTCGCAGGGTGTGTGACTCCGTGTGCATCTCAGCGCTCCCCTGGGCCTGGAGCTGACCTGACCAGGCTGTATCCTGTCACCTGCACTGAGAGCTCCTGCCCCCACCCTGCTTTCAGTTGGGTTCAGTCATACCTAAGAGTTGGGGCAGAAGCACATGAGGAACAACATCCACCCCCAGCTTCCCCACAGCAGCACCCCCGTGTGGCCTCTGTCCTTCAGTCAAAGGTCCCCATGCCCCTGAGGGTCCTCTCACTCAGACAGCTCTGATTCCAGTAGGGTAAGGACCTGAACAGAGCCCAAGACGCAGCTCTTTTGTAAACAGCTGCCCTTTGAGTCTCACAAACATTCTGATTCAATGTACTTCTAGAAATGACCAGAATGCACAAAAGCCCCACAAGGTAACTCTACAGTTCCGCCCCAATAAGCTCTCCCCACCCATGATGTATCATATTCTGTCTCTCAAAACACAACCAACAAGCTCCTGCCCTGTTCTCACTCTTGAATTCCTCGCCCTATTTTTTAAAAACTTTTTAGTAAAAGATTTACTAAAAAAAGCAAAACAAGGCCCTCCCTGGTGGCGCAGCGGGTTAAAGCACTACACTGAGAGACTAAAGCCACTTCCGCATGAGTTCGATCCCTGCCTGCCCCGGAGGTGACCACATGGCGTGGCAGACCTCTCCTGACCTGCCCGCTGTTCCCCTCAGCAGTGTACTTCCTGGATCTGCCTGTTCTGCTTCCCGCTCTGTCTCTGGTGAATCCTCTCACCCTCCGCATCTCTGGCCTGTACCCCAGTTCTGTACGAATAAATAAATAAATCTTAAAAAAAAAAAAGCAAAACAAAACAAAAAAACTGGTACCCCAGTTCTTGTGTACATAAATCTTTTTAAAAAATAGAGTTCGGGCCTTCCCTGGTGGCTCAGTGGGTTAAAGCACAGCACTAAGAAGCTAAAGCCACTTCAGTGAGAGTTAGACCCTTGCCACAGAGGTGACCCACATGGCGCGGCAGACCTCTCCTGACCTGTTTACTGTTCCCCACAGCATTGTACTTCATCAGTCGGCCTGTTCTGCTCCCCACTCTGCCTCTGATCAATCCTCTCACTGCACCTGCACCTCTGGCCTGTACCCCAGTTGTGTATGCATAAATAAATAAATCTTTAAAAAAAAATAGAGTTCTGTTCCACCACAATTGGAACACAGCCATGAGTAAAAAGGATACTAAATGCGGGCCCTCCATGGTAGCACAGCAGGTTAAAGAACTACACTAAGAAGCTTAAGCCAATTCCGCATGAGTTCGATCCCCGCCTGCCCTGGAGGTGACCAAATGGCGCAGCAGACCCTTCCTGACCTGCCCGCTGCTCCCCTCAGCAGTGTACTTTGTCAATCTACCTGTTCTGCTCCCCACTCTCTCTGGTGAATCCTCTCACCCTGCGCATCTCTAGCCTGTACCCCAGTTCTGTATGAATAAATTTTTTTTTAAAAAAGGATACTAAATGTCTTGTAGAAGGATGATGAGAACAAAAGTGCAGAGAAAGAAATGGCAAGAGTGTTCATGAAACTGATCCACAAACTTCTGATAAAAGATGCAGAATTTCTGGAAACAAAGTGAGAACATAGACTTCCCTGGGACGCGACTTTACAAAGTCCAACAGCCATTCCTCCTTCCTTCTTCAATGCTCCCGTTTGGAGAATAAAATCCTGAGATGAGAAAATAAAGAAAAAAATGGCAGACCCGCCCTAGGTTGCTGACTTGAGACTCATAAAGACAGAACTATTACCCCTTTCTGGTACCCAGAAGCTCCATGCCCCCTCCAAGATCTGAGAAAAAGGCCAAAGTTGACCTTCACCCCTGAGTCCTGACTGGTATTAAGATATGTAGCTTGAACTCGATCAAATCTAAAGTTCAACCAATGGTAACTATGGCAGTTTATCATAAGGCCCCAGCAGACCTCTCCTGTCCTGCCTGCTGCTCTCCTCAGCACTGTCTTTCAGTAGCTCTGCCTGTTCTGCTCCCCACTCTGTCTCTGGTGAACTCTCTCACCCCTGTACCTGTGGCTGGTACCCCAGCTCTAAAATACATAAATAAATAAAATAAATCTTTTTGTTTAAAAAAAGGCTAACTCAGGCCCTCCCTGGTGGTACAATGGATTAAAGGGCAGCTATCACAGCCACTGCAGCACAAGTTCAATCCCCAGCCAGGGAGGTGACCCACATGGCGTAGCAGACCTCTCTTGACCCACCCGCTGCTCTCCTCAGCAGTGTATTTCAGTACATGCGCCTGTTCTGTCCTCCACTCTATCTCTGATGAATCCTCTTACCCCCTGTTCCTCTGGCCTCTATTCCAGTTTTGTATTTATAAGTAAATAAATCTTTAAAAAAAAATAAAGGCCAACTCAAAGTCTTAAGAGTCAAACTGCAGTGTGACTAAAAACTCTCCTTTCAAGGACAGGAAATTTTCCACATAACCTGAGGAATGAATGCTGTATATTTCTCAAAGAAGCAAAGTCAGATGGCAGCTATTACTTTCACAGAAAGGCAGCTAGAAGCAAATATTCACAAATTGTAATACCAAACTGATAACAACCCATATAACCTGAAATAAGTTCCTCCTCCTCTGAGGACTGACATTTCCTTAATCTGAAAATGGGATGGTTGTGTTTGAACTATAATTTAGATGCACAATCCCCTAATTCTGGGCTACTCTGGACAAACCAATTCTAAGAAAGCTATTTCCTCAGAGCAGTGCAACTTGAAACTGTCCATAAAAGGCTTTGCAACCTGAAAAGTGAATCAATGAAGTCTTCTCCACATCCTGTACCTATAAGCAGCATCTGCGTAAAGAAAAAAGAAGAAAGTCTTTTAAGTTTCTATTTTTAACAGTTATGTATGCCTTTGGGTGTTGTTTTCTGGGTATGAGATAAGCCATCAATCTCTGAAGAAGGTAATGGAAAAGATTTGGGCTATTTTTTAAAAATGTATTTATGTTTGCATACAAGAAATGGGGCACAGACAGAGGTACACAGGATGGGGCACAAGGGGAGAGAAGAGTGGGGAGCAGGACACAAAGATCCACTGAAACACACTGCTGAGGGGAGCAGCAGGCCAGACAGGAGAGGTCCCCTGTGCCATGTGGATCACCTCCCTGGCCGGGAATCGAACTTGAGTTGCAGTGGCTGAGGACTGCTACACAGTGCTACACCCTAAACTCTTGCACCACCAGAGAGGGCCCAGATGTGGACTTTCTAGAGCATGCTGACCCCATGCTCATCTGCTTCCTCCCCTCCTCTAAGACCCTGGGCAAGTCACTACATCTCGCAGAAACTTTCTTTCCTCACTGGCAAGACTGCACAAGCCAACCCCTGGCATAGTGAAGTGCCACCCTTGCTGCTACACACACTCTTGGAAAGGAAACGAGGATATTTTTATTCATTGAGAAAGTTAGAATCAAAAACTTAGTTCACTTGGTACATCAGAAAAAGCGCCAGGGCTCAGGCTCCCTCAGCACCAAACAAGGAAGAGTTCTGACAAGGGCAGAGCTAACGCTGCAACTCCCTGGAGAGGAAGACTGGGGCTCAGGTTGGGCTTTTCTCCTCCATAGCCGCCATTGTGAGGATGACCTCACTACCCTGTCTTTAGACTGCATGTGATGCCACTGAAGGCAAAAAGCCAGACTAAGTTCCCACATCCAGAAGGGTCCCAGTGCAGGGTCAAAGGCAACTAACTCTCTCCAACATTTTCAAACTGAGGGCTCCCATATATCACTTCCACAGTGTGGGAAAGGACAAAGGAGCTGAATAATTAAAAACAAGGATTCTGGAGCCTGGGCTAACGTTCAGTTTCTGTCACTTCCTAACTTTGTGAATTTGGGCAAACAGCTGTAATCGCTCCGGCTTCACAATCACAAAGTAGTCCCACACCATCAAGTGTCAGTCTCATGTACACACACATTCTGACCCAATCACACAGATGTGATGTCACACGCAGCTGTGATGTCACACACTCTAACCCAATCACACAGCTGTGATATCACAGATCTACATGTCTGAGCCTTAGCAGAGATGACGCAACTACTCTGCGTCATATACTCAAAAAGTCACACACCCTGTCACGATTACACAAAATGACACCTGCGGAGACGGATGGTCCTGGTCACACAATCTGCTGTCACACACACTGAAACGCAACTGCACCTGCAGACAGCTGGTCCAACAATCACACACTGACCACTCAATGTCACACCTGCATCGCCTATCCGGTTACACACAGTGACGTTACTGTCTCCCAGGCAGGCCCCGCCTGGACTCCGTCCCCGTCCCTGCCGGCCCCTGCCTAAGACTGGCCCTCCGGTGCTCCGGTTCTCGCGGGTAGCCAGGCCCAACTTACCTCACGGCTCCGTGGGTTCTGGAATCCGGCCCAGCGCCCTGAGAGCCGCGACTTCTCCTCCCAGAACCCCCCGCGGGGCGAGGCGGGGCGGGGCGGGGCGGGGGGGACCTGAGGTGAGAGGGTGAGTGTTCCGGGGGGGAACATACAACAAACGGATCTGGACCAGCCACTCAGCTTTTATTTCCAATCGCGCGAACCACAAGCCCCAGAATGCTTTGTGCCGCGGCCGCTTTTTCAGAACTACACTTCCCAGAAGCCTCCGAGTCGCGCCTGCGCCCCTAGCAGCGGGAGCAGTGGCGTGGGTCTGAGAGTGCCGCCTGCGACCACCGGTAAACCTGGACACGCAATGACCTTAGGCGACTGTGTGTGCGAAAATGAAGTTGCGTATGGATGTGCCTATGATTGAATGCTCGGGTGGCGTTTTGTGGGTGATCGCCGTTGCTCAACGTCCCTTGTGTGATGATGGATTATGTCATTGCAATGAGCTTCTGTATTTTAAATCATGTCCTGTGATCGCAGTTAGTTGTGTGACAGATTCTGCGTCTGTCTCCTAAGAATATGAGTTGTGTGCGCGGGAAGTGGCGGAATTTAGGCGTGACGACTTCTGTAACTGGCTTCTTACTCCGCAGTAGTTCACATATGACAAACAAACAGTAGGGCTTGCCTTGTTTCCGTGCTTACTTTTAGTGCAAGAGAAAGGATTAGGGGAAGAACAGAATTGCAAACAGAATTAAGCTCCAAAACTTTGGAACTTGAAATTACAGCTGTTGGTGAGTTGTTGGCAGAATCATTTGTCTGCGGGTCTCCCCTGCACTCACTCTCAAGGGTCAGTTAGGGCTGGTGGTATGGGATCTCCTGGAGTACATAGTTTACAGGGCACCTGGCATGCTGGTTGTGTAAATGGGTGGTCTTCAGGCAAAGGGGAGGGCCCAGTTCCCTGCCTTATCCAAGGGAGGGTGGAGCTGAGCTAGGAGGAGACTGGAGAAGGATGGAGCGCCAAAAGCGCATGTAGAGGCACATGGAGCAGAGACACGTGAAGAAACTGCATTTGCTTCTTGGTTTTGGACTGGTTGAAACAGACTGGGTGAGAAACCTGTGGGAAGATTAGCTATGGCAGTATTTTTTTTTTAAGGTTTATTTATTTATGCATACAGAGCTGGTGTACAGGCCAGAGATATTGGGGCTGTGAGAGGATTCACCAGAGGAGCAGAACAGGCAGATTAACGAAGGACACTGCTGAGGGGAGCAGTGGGTGGGTCAGGAGTAGTCTTCCATGCCATGTGGATCACCTCCAGGGCTGGAATCCAACTTGCACTGAAGTGGTAGATGCTAGCTCACAGAGTGCTACACCCTAAACTGTTGCACCACCAGGGAGGGCCCTATTCTCAATCTTTTAATAGAGACCCTCAAAGACCAAAAGTTTAATTCCATTATTTGTTTAAATATTTTTATGTATTTGTTTTTGCGTAGAAGAACTGGGGTGTAGTCCAGAGGTGAGGGAGATAAAAGGATTCACCAGAGACAAAGTAGGGAGAACAGGTGGATTTCCTGAAATACACTGCTGAGGGGAGCAGCAGGCAAGATAGGAGAGGTCTGATGCACCATGTGGGTCACCTCCAGGGCAGGGATCTAACTCACACTGAAGGGGCTGTGGGTAGCTTGCAGTGCTGCGTCCTAACCCTTGTGCTACCAGGGAGGACCCATCATTCTTGTTTTGTATGCTCTTAAATTTGACACCCATAGTCGAGTAAGTAGAGAGATAAATAGCTTGAACACTACACAAACCAACCTCATTGGCACCTGCTGGTCTGTCTTCATGGCAGTTTTCATTCCAGGCAGTAAGATGTCATCTTGAGGGCAGTGATCACTCTTATGGGCCTGTGCTAGGAAACACAACTAGTCAACTTACAAAAAATGGTTTGTTGGTTTGTCTCTTTAAAATGGGAGGGGCTATAAAATTGGGAGGGGCAATTCTGTCCTATTGTTACAGGTCCATCCTACTGTTCTTGGAAGATAAGCAAATGACCATCTTGACACAGCTCAGGGAGGATTTCATATCCATGACTAAGGAATAACTGTTAATAGCATTCACAGTGGCCTTCCTTGGTGGCACAGCAGGTTGGGAGCCACCACTGCAAGCTGCCCTGGAGGTGACCCACTGGCACAGCAGACCTCCCCTCTCTTCCCTGCTTTTCCCCTCAGCAGTGGACTTTGTTGACCTGTCTGTTCTGCTCCCCACTCTGTCTCTGGTGAAACCTCTCTCCAGCCCTGTACTGCTGGCGTGTACCTCAGTTCTGTATGCATAAATAAATAAATCTTCAAACAAAAAACAAAACAATTCATAATGAACCCAAATCAGGCCTGGGCTGTCAAGAACATAAATGAAATGGGGGAACTGAAAAAGAAAGATGGGGATGGGGCACACAATGTGGAGAGAGAATCAGGCTGAGAGGCTCTGTCGATAAAGCAAATATATATGTTATAATAAAACAAAACAGTATAACAGCAAATCGTAATGTTAATCATGAGGACATGGAATATTCATTCATTTAATGTATTTCTCCCATTTTTGTCAAATGTGCTCTGCTTCTTTGGGGAACAAATTATTAAGAAAATATTATCTCTTCCTGCTTTTCAACTGCCATGTCTTAAACTGTTTATTATTGTATCTACAAGCTCTTAGATGGACACTAGGATCTGAGCAGCATAAAGATGATGTATGAAGTTTATGCACATACTTTTCTTTCTATAGACTCCCTGCAGATAATGATGTAAAAAGGTGTTATGTTGATTACATTCATTTCTTTTTCTTAAACTATGAATTCATTGACCTACAAAAAGGTAAGCAATATGGCTAAAATCCGTTCTACAAAAAATAATAAAGATAATTATGAAAATGAGTGGACCAATGATAAAGTAGAAAACCTTTACTTAATATTTACTTTGATAGGAACAGTTCTAAGCACTTTACAGTTATTATTTCATTTAACCCTCACAACAAACCAATACATACAGCAAGATTATATGTAATGATACACAAGAAGTAAAATGCCATTAAAATATGTTAGGTTTAAAAAAAATACATAACCAATAAACAATAATCTGATAATAATGGTTATCTTCAGGGTGGGGCTGGAATTTGGGTTAATAAAAAGGAAGAAAACAGGTTACAATGTGAAAAAGTAGATAAATTTAGCAATTAGAATAAATGCTTTAAAAGTAAACCAAGCAACCAGAAATAAATGTTGGGTCGTATTAATCAGGGAAGAATCTATAACTGCAAAATCTTAGATACATCCATCACACAAATAATAAATCCATTTTCAAAAGTGAGTAAATGTCATTAGAAATAATATAAATTTATAGTCACTAAAACGGCAACTATATTTCTTGGCAGCGAGAGCACAACATGGAAACCATGATGACTTCTTTAAAACCAAAGTCTAGTAGGATCTGCTCTTCCGACTGGAGAGTATTTATCTCTAGCTGACAAGATTAAAATAATTAAAATAAGCCTTCACTTTTGTTTCTGGTTTTTGGCTTTTGTTTTACAATAACAGAAATAGGTGGAATGAAACAAAAAGACAAACACTGACTTTAAAAACAAAGTTATGAGTCTACAAGGAATCCCCAAATAAAATCACACAATTTAAACCATGTGCTATTGGTGTAAGTACAAATATAGAGAACAAAAAAGGCAGCCTAAAACACATGCAAATATAAATAAGCAATTACCAAGAAGGTAGAAAATAATCATGAGCAAGGAATTACTTAACAACTTTCATTAGTATAAGTGTAATTCAGAATTTGAATTCATAAGGCAGAGTGAAATATACTTGTATAAAAAATGTTGAGAAACAACAGTGAAAGACAGTAACTATCAAACAGTAATTCTGTTTAAAATAATAGAAAGGTGACAAGAGCTTTCACTGTTGGGACTCATCAGCATGAACTCCCTGGTGACGAATGAGATCAGAGCCGCTGCTGAAGGCCTTCCCACAGTCCTTGCAGTTATAGGGCTTCTCACCACTATGGATTCTTAGGTGCCGAGTGAGGTTTGAGCATTTATTAAAGGCCTTTCCACATTCGCTACATTCATAAGGCTTTTCATCTGTATGAATTCGCTGATGTTGAAAAAGTTGGGAGTTCTGAGTGAAGGCCTTTCCACATTCAAGACATTCAAAGGGTTTCTCTCCAGCATGAATCCGCTGATGCTGTCGAAGTTGGGAGCTCTGAGTAAAGGCCTTCCCGCACTCCTTACACTCATAGGGCTTCTCGCCAGTGTGGATCCGCTGATGATTGGTAAGCGCTGAGCCACTGCTGAAGGCCTTCCCGCAGGCCTTGCATTCGTAGGGTTTCTCACCGGTGTGGATTCTCTGATGCTGAACAAGTTTTGAACTCTGTGTAAAAGCTTTGCCACACTCCTTACATTCATAGGGCTTCTCACCTGTATGAATTCTCACATGTTGAAACAGCTGTGAGCTCTTAGTGAAGGCCTTCCCACAGACTTTACATTTGTAAGGTTTTTCACCAGTGTGAATTCTCTGGTGGTCAATAAGATTTGAGCAGTAACTAAAGGCCTTCCCACACTCCTTACATTCATAAGGTTTCTTACCAGTGTGAATTCTCTGATGTTGAGAAAGGTATGAGCTACAACTGAAAGCCTTCCCACACTCCTTACATTCAAAGGGTTTTTCACCAGTGTGGATTTTTTGATGTCGAGTAACATGTGAGCCACAACTAAAGAATTTCCCACACTCCTTACATTCATAAGATTTTTCACCAATATGCAGTCTCTGATGTTGAATAAGCTGTGAATTCTGACTAAAGACCTTCCCACACTTCTTACATTCATAAGGCTTCTCTTCATTATTCATTATTTGACGTAGAGTGAACAATGTATGTGGAATATATGTGGGCATGTACTCATGTGTGAATATCTCTTGGCTGAAATGCACGTTTGGATATCCCAGCTGTCTTTCAAAGTGGTTTCCATAGTCCAAAACATCCCGAAAACTGGAGTACTCAAAGCCTTGCTTCGTAAGTCCCATTATTTCCCTCTGGCATGATTCAATTTCATAAACTTCCTTCTTTAGAGACAGTAACTTGTTTTCACACATTGATTCCAGATCTGAAAAAGAAATGGTAAAAATCTTATTCCCCATTGTAAATATCAAACTGTTATAATAAACACAATATTGAAGGAAAAACATTATCTGTTTAATGTGAAAAAAAAGTATAAAATGGACAGAAATTAATGAGATATAAAGCAGGAAGCAGAGGCAGGAGATTATGAAACTAGAAAATCCCAAGGAGGAGCCTCCCTGGTGGTGTGGGGTTAAGCCTAGCACTAGTAAGCTCCCCACAGCCACTTCAGCAAGAGTTCAATCCCCAACCAGGGAGCTGACCCCCATGGAGCAGACCTCTTCTGTCCCGCCTGCTGCTCCCCTCAGCAGTTTGTTTTAGTAGATCCGCCTGTTCTGCTCCCCACTATGTCTCTGATGAATTCTCTCACCTACCACACCTCTGACCTGTACCCTGAGCTTGTATGTATAAATAAATAAATAAATCTTTAAAAAATAAAATAGAATATGGGCAAAGTTTTTTTTGGAGAAGAAATGAAAGATACTTTCTACTGGAAATTAAGAGGTATGTGGAGAAGAGTAATAGGAAGAGTAGTGAGGAAGGAATACAACAGGCATGTGTAAGATGATGCTAAAAGGTCTCAGGTACTGTTTCTTCCCTCATCAGCTCAGTTTTTAATGGGAAAGGCCTGCTCCCCTCCATCCGTTCTCACCTGAACACAGGCCTCTTGTCAGTTCCCTGCCGAGCATCCAGGGCTCTTTTCCTTGTTCCAGTAAGGAGATCACTTGAGGCTTAGGAATGCAAAATCCTGCTCCAAGAGAAGATATGGAACATGGTTATGCTGTAGGCAGATAGAGCCAGCGGAAAGATCCAGTCCGTTGATGATCAAAGACGAGACGTTACAACAGAAACAGCCAAAGAAAGGTAAGAGAAAGCTTCAGTACCAGCCAAATGCCTACTTTCTAATCTTCCTTTTCATTTCAGCTCACATCATTCATTGGCAAACAGGGAATAGAAATTCAGCAGGGAACACAAACAGCAGCTGAGAAAGTCACGGAGGAAGCAGCAGACATTCCAGAGAAGTCTAAATTACTGAGACTGGCGCCCTTACCCACGGAGACCAGGTTGCTATAGTTCTCCAACATCACATCTCTGTACAGGGCTCTCTGCACAGGGTCCAGGCATTCCCACTCCTCCTGGGAGAGGTCTAGTGACACATCACTGAATACCACTGATGCCTGAAACATTAAACATGTGGATTACTTGCATAATAAAGGGAATGCTTTAGGGCCTCCATGGTGGTCTAGGTTTACCCTCAGTACTATCGCTGCTAAGGCCTGAGTTCAATCCCCAGCCGGAGAGCTGACCCACATGGCACAGCAGACCCCTCCTTTCTCCCCACTGCTCCCCTCAGCAGTGTACTTTGGTCAATCTGCCTGTTCTGCTCCCCTATCTCTGGTGAGTCACCTTTCCCCCACCCCCTTCACTGCACCTCTGGCAGGCACCCTAGCTCTTGTATGCATAAATACATAAAATAAATCTTAAAAAATATATGGGATAAACTCCCCTGAATTGGCTAAAAGAGAGGAGGGTGTCTGCCTCATCAATGGTAGTTTACCCTTAGGACTTAATGCTTAAAGAATAAGTTCCTGTTAACACATTCTTTAGTGATTATTTGTCGGATACCAGAATTTTCTACAGTAAAGATAAACAGGGTAAGATTTAAAAGATTTTCTGAGTTCTGACAGTATGATCTCATTTATGAACTTGCTGATGCCACTGCAATCATCCACCATCCTATCTTTACTTCTGAAATAAAATTGGTGATTCATATAGAAATTCTGTATTTCCTATTCAACCTTAAAATGGACTTCTCTCTGGGCTGTTCTAACACAGCTCTAGAAATTTCTCTGCTTCAGCTACCAACCCTGCAATCTTCCAAGCTGCATAAACCAGATTTTGCAACAACCTAACACAGGCAGCTATCAACGCCACTGGCCATCCTATTTTACTAGAGAATTCCAGCTGTAGAGGTAATGTAGGCTTGTCCATGTTTATTTCCAGGTAAGCATTCATACCTCCACCTCATTCAATCAAGGTCCAGCTAGGACAAGTCTACAAATTTACTCGTTTGTTTTAAAAGACAGTATCATAGTCCATGTAGAGGGCTGAAAACTTATTGTCCTAAATGACAATAATACTGCTGGGTCAAGAAAAGAGGGGTATGTAAGGTGTGTGATTATCTGGCTAGAATGAATAGGGATCAGAAACCTGAAGGGGGACCCCATTAGTTATAAATGTCAGGAAAATGAAAGCAAATGTTCACAAGCCCTTTCAATTTGGTGAGTGGTGGTGGTGGTTCTGTTCTTATTGCTGGTTTTTTTTTTTTTTTTTGAAGATTTATTTATTTATGCCTATAAGAACTGGGGTATAGGCCAGAGGTATGGGGGAGAGAGGACTCACCAGAACAGGTAGATCTACTGAAATACACTGCTGAGGGGAGTAGCGGGAGGCGCAGGGGGTGGGTGGGGTGTTTGCTGCGCCATGTGGGTCACCTCCCTGGTGGGGATCAAACTCGTGCTGCAGTGGCTGGGGATAACTTCTTAGTGCTGTGCAATAACCCTCTGTGCCACCATGGAGGGCCCGCTGTTTTGTTGGTAGGATGATGTACCCACTCACCTGAGCCATAGTTTCCTGTAGGGCAGCAGGTGATCAGTCCTCTCTGGGGCTGCTTCCCTAAAAAAACGCAGAGTTCTGAGAAGGCAGGCTTGAAGAAGCAAAGAAATGGTCTAGAAATCACAGTGGTCTTACCACCCATAGGTTAATGAGTAAAACCTATTTCATTCCCCTCAGTTTAGATCCTAATGATCTTATATTGTGAAACCAAGTCCCACTTAATCTATGAAGAAGGAACAATAGAACTAAAATAACATTTTGCAGTCTCTAATAAATCGATGACTCTATACAGTACCCATCAATGTTGGCTAACATTGAAAAAGTGAAAACCAGATATAATATGTGTCCTACGGAAATCACATATTATTACCTATGAAATAACCTTGACCAAAACAACAAAAAGTGATTTTGATTAAGCTTCTAGACCTTAATCCAGTCTACCAATTTTTAGGAAACAAATAACAGGTAAACCAGATATTAATTAAGAATTCAGCCTTAAAGCTAGTGGGTGAGATCTGTTTACTGTATACTCAATGTTGGTAATTTGTGGCTTAACTCCTGTTAAATATATACTGAAGCTAAATATATGCATCATCTATGACCCTAATATTTCACTCCTGGGGGTATAGCCAACAGAAATGAATTCATACTTGCACCAAGACAAAGACCAGAATGCTCATGGGGGGTCCCCCGGGTGGCGCAGCGGGTTAAAGCACAGCCCTGTGAAGCTGTCACAGCCACTGCAGCACGAGTTCACTCCCTGGCCAGGGAGCTGACTCACAGGGCGCAGCGTAACTCTCTTGACCCGCCCGCTGCTCCCCTCAGCAGTGTATTTCAATACAGCTACTTGTTCTGCTCCCCACTCTGTCTCTAGTAAATCCTCTCACCCCCCACACATCTGGCCTGTACCCCAGTTCTGCATGCATAAAGAAATATTTTTTTTTTTTTAAAAGAATGCTTATGGGTAGCCTCGTTTATAATAGTGGCAGTGCAAAAACAATTCAGATGCCAATCACTAGGGGAATAGATAAACTATAGTATACTCACACAAAGGAATTTTAAATAGTAATGATGAATCATGAAATAACATGGATGAAACATACCTATACACAAATATAACATGTAAAACATAATGTTGAGCAAAAGTAGTTAAGCACAAAAGTGGCATGTATGATTCTATTGACAAAAAATTCAACAATACAAAAAATTAACGTATGGCTACAGAAAAGAGAATAGTGGGTATCTTTGGAAGAGTAAGTGGATGGAACAATAATTGGGCCCCTAAAATCCTATTTCCCGACCTGATTTCATTTCTAGTTAAAATAATATATGCTCACTTTTGTAAAATACATCAAAAAATACCTTAATTTCTGTATTTTAAAAAAGATTCATTTATTTATACATACAGAACTGGGGAATAGCCCAGAGGTGTGGAGGAGTGAGAGGATTCCCCAAAGATATAGCAGAGAGCAGAACAGGCAGATTGACTCACTACGCTGCTGAGGGGAGCAGCAGGCGGGTCAGGAGAGGTCTGCTGTACCACATGGGTCACTCCCTGGCTGGGGATCAAACGCATGCTGCAGTGGCTGCTATGGCTTCATAGTTTTGTGCTCTGATCCACTGTAACACCAGGGAAAGCCCAATTTCCATGTTTTAAAGTGTATACTACACTTTATTCTTTTTTTTTCAAGGATTTATTTTATGCATACAAGAATATGCATACAAGAACTGGGGTACAGGTTAGAGGTGGGGGGGGCGGTGAGAAGATTCACCAGAATCAGAGTGGGATTAATAGGCAGATGGACTGAAACACACTACTGAGGGGAGCAACAGAGAGGACAGGAGAGGTCTACTGGGCCATGTGGGTCAGCTCTCAGGTCGGGAATCGAACTCGTACAGCAGTGGCTTTGAATAACTTCATAGTGCTGTGAAGCAGTGTGTGAGATTGGAGAGGTCTGCTGTGCCATGTGAGTCAGCTCCAGGGCCAGGGGTTGAACCTGCACGGAAGACAGCTGCAGCCAGCGTGCAGTGCTGCACTTCAACCCATTGTGCCACCAGAGAGGGCTGTATGTTATACTTTTAAAGACACATGATATACCGTTATTTCAACAGATACATCAAAAATTAAAATAACAGGGCCTCCCTTGTGGCACAGGGGTTAAATCTTAGTATCATCAAGTTATCACCAGCTACTGCAGTAAGAGTTTCATCCCTGGCCAGGGAGCTGACCCACATGGCACAGCAGACTTTTCCTGTCTCCCCGCTGCTCCCTTCAGCAGTGTATTTCAGTAGATCGCATGTTCTACTCCCCAATCTGTCTCTGGTGAGTTCTCTTACCCCCACATTCCTGGCCTACATCCCAGTTCTAGTATGTGTAAGTAAGTTAAACAAAATTAAAGTATCAAGTGACCAAATATTGGTGAGAATACAAGATGATTACAGCTATAAATTATTGGTAAGAATTTAACTAATATAATCATATTGAAAATGTTTAACATTACCTTGGAATTTTGAAGATACAAACATATCTTATATTCCAGCAATAATACCATTTCTTTATGTTTATACTCTGTAAAGCATATATATGTATATCAGAATACTTATAAAAGTATGTTTAGAGCAGCTCTTTTTAAAGGATCCGAAAATGAGGAGGGGTAAGAGGAGCTGCCTATAACAGCAAGGCTGAACCTAAAAAACGTAACTGCGCAGAAGCACAGCTCGGCCCCTCCCTGTTGGCACAGCGGGTTAAAGCGCAGCACTATGAAGCTATTGCAGCCACTGCCATGTGACTTCAATCCCCGGCCACATAGCACAGGAGACCTCTCCTGACCAGCCCGCTGGTCCCCTCAGCAGTGTATTCCAGTAGATCTGTTCTAGCCACACACACAATGCCACAAAAAGTTACAAGGTCACGTTCACATCCTCACGGTCTGGTAGCTCAGCACACTCAGCAAACATACCACAATCTGTCAGCTAACATAATCTGGCTCTCTACAGTGTCCCGACACAGCCACACAAAATCACACAGTGCCAATCCCCCCACGAGGACACAGTCACACCTACGCCACGTCACAGTCACACACCATTCACGAGGAAATCCAAAATCACACCTGCACGTAGAGTTCCGCGCATGGTCAGTCACAAGGAGGCGGCCACCGCCGGGCACCCACTCACACCTGCTCTCGGAGCCCAACAAGGTAACGTAAGGTCACAGTCACAGTCCACACATGGAATCTCACACTTCTTGCCTCCTCCCTCCGTCCGACGAACGCACAAAGGCGCGACGCTTCGGACCCGCCCGGACGGGCCCTTCAGACCCCGGTGACGCAGCTGCGGAGCCCGATCGTGACCCCAGGACCCAGGCCTCTCACCTTGCACTTCTTCCCTGGAGGCCGAGGGTCCCGCAGGCGAGCGAACGGCGACCCTGCGCCCGCCGGGGCCTCTGGGAAATGTAGTCCCTCCAGCAAGATGACGCACTGCCTCCGGTTTCGTGCCAGTGCCCAGCTTGGGCCAAGCCGACACCCCTGCTCTCCTCTCTGAAATGCTGCCAAGAATCTGCGAGATCCAGAGGCACTCTCGCATTTGGGCTCCCACACAATTCAGGTGCAACATCCTGGAGAAGGCTTTCTCGAAACTTTACAGCCCAGGGAGCCGTGCCATGAAAAATTAAAAAAAGGTCGCTGGGTCCACGCTGGAAGTTGATTAGAGTCGTAAGGACTTCTGGGAAATGTAGTCTAGCGCCTCAAAGAGAAACCTGCCCAAGTAGATTGTTCTAGATGAGTTTCTACACTGAGCTTGTCCACAGTGAGGGGCTGGGCGTCCGCTTAGAGCTAGGAGGATTTGTAACCTTCTTTGAGACTCTGAGTATCTTGGTATTCACTGCGTAAAACCCAATATTTTTATTTGTTTGTCACTGGTGCTTATTAGCTTGATCCTGTTCATGGGAATTTAGGTTGTTTTCAGACTTTTATTGTTGTGAACCACATGTGAACTGACCTAACTATACTTGTAAGTTACCTGCAATGTGTCAAAAGCCAGTCTACATCAAAGCCACTCATGTATCCATAAAACACGTAATCTCACCTGCTGACGCTGATACAATCCTGAGATCATAGTGCATGGGAATATGACAGATCACAAAACATGAATTATTTTCCAAAGTGATTGCAAACAGTTAACGTCCCATCATCAAAGTATAATTTGCTCCACAATTGCCAGACTAATTTTGTCAAACAAATTGAATAAAATCTTTATTACATATCCCTGGTAAATAATCAAGTTGAAAATCTCTTCATACGTTTAATGGCCCAGAAGATTCCTTTTCTATAAAGTGATGGTTCAAGTCTCATCTATATGTAGTGAGTTTATTATGTTTTACTTAATTAGGATCAGTTTCTGCCACCGATTGATCATTGGTAGTCCTGTATTCTAAGTTTGTCTGTCTCACTTTGTAACTTGTCATTTCATTCTTAATCATTTGATGAACAAAGTCCTTATTTTAATATATGAAGCTTACTAATTTTACATATTTAATGCTTTTGTGTTCCTTTTAAGAAATCTTTTCAGGATGCACAGCAGTATCACGAAATGTACCGCCCCTGGCCAGGGTCTCTCTCCCTTATTTGCCTTGGCATTCAGGGTCACTTCTGCTCCCCAACCCCACCCCAACCACTGCTACAGAATGAGCCCCACAGGCTCTCTGTTCCCCTCAGCAGTGTATTTCAGTATATCTTCCTGTTCTGCTCCCCACTCTGACTCTGGTGAGTCTTCTCACCTCACACACCCTTGGCATGCACCCCAGTTCTTGTATGCATAAATCTTTAAAAAACAAATCTTTAAATAAATAAATAAAATAGGGACTATATTAATATTGCTGTGAAAACAGTATTAGCTAATAACTACAAACACACATTTTCTTTCCTTTTTAGTGAAATTTTACTATGGAATTTTTGAGCAAATAATACAAGAAGAGAGAAATATATAATCATCCTACTGCAACATTTGCCAACATTCTGTTACCCTTGTTTCACCTATCACCTCTCCTCAATTTAATCATTTTGCTCATCAATATCTCCCTAAGAATCTCTAAAAGTTTGAACTTTTAAACATAACCATATTACCAACAAAATAAACAGTAATTCTTAGACTGCTGATATATGTGTGTTCGCTACTACCACAGATTTTCCTAAGACCAGATTTGGGGAAAAAAAGGAAAGCTGTATCAACAGTGTTCAGGCCTCTAACTGGTCCTATTTTAAGCTGAATCTCAAAGTGGGACAAGACAGACACAAAGGCACCCAGTATGCCACGCTAATGTCGTGCATTAACACCTTAAAACACCTAATTTCACCTGCTGGCACTGATGCAACCTTTGCAGTTGTACAGGAAACCCCTTACCTTTCTTTGTCAGGTAGAGGAACTTCCTGGAACAGGCAATATTTAAGCTGAGTTTTAAGAATGTTTAGAAGTCCATCAGTGAAAGGAATTGTGTCTTTGTATCGCCCACTTACAGCCAGAACCCAAAGGGGGGATATAGGGAGATAGGTTTAGCTGCTTCAGAATGTTCCATGTAAAATTCAAGGGAAGTCAGAGACTAGAGTTAAGATTTCCTTTACATCGTAAAGATATCGTAACTATTTGGATTTTAAATTTCAAATACATGAAAATAGTTGTTTCACTTACACATTGGCTGCATTAAAGACTTGCTATCTGTTATTACTGCTGACTCCTTTTGTTTCAAAATTTGAGGCTAAGAGAGAGAAACAGGGATTGATGTCTCCACTCCTGGCACCAGGCTCCGGGGAGACACTTCCTCTGGTTTCACTCAGGAGGGGACTGGAATACCCAAGTCTGCCCCATAAGCGGACTGGGAGGCCCATCCTTACTTCTCTGTCTTGCTGGGTGTTTTCTCCCAGCAGTGGACTCAGATCCAAAACTTTCCACCCTCTGTACCCTCCTGACTTCTGCTCTCATATCCCAGTGTTTTCTCAGACGTGTTATGAGACGTCTGACTGTAGGCCTCGGTGATTTTCCCTCTCTGGTTCTCCTCTTTCAGGGTGTTTTTTTCCCAGTTGGTAACTGATCTCAGCATTGTGCCAAACAGAGCGCCGGATCCCATCCAGCTCCAACCAGTCCGGGGCCTCCCTTAGACTCGGGCACGCCCTCCACTCTTGCTGACAATTCCCGCATTGCTTTAAAAAAACCACCGGAGATCTGTTCCCACGGCTGTACGGAATGGACACGCCCCCATGATGGCGGCCCGTATCAGAAGCTCGACTGGGCGCAGCCACGTTCTCTAGTCGACCGCGTCTCGTACGGAAAAGGCACGGGGCCAATAACGGTGCTGCGGCAGCGGCTTCCAAGTTAGTGGCGAGCATGCGCGGTGGCAGTAGCCCGAAGGGGCGGGGCTAGGGGCCGGGCCGGAAGTGAAGGCGGGGGTCCTGAAACCTTTCGCCGCCAGTGTCTGAAGCATCTCCATATGATAATCCCGAGGGATCTCTGAGGTGACTTTCTTGTGTCTCGATTAGGGGTCCTATGGGTTCAGTGATGTTGGATTTGGAGTCAAGGAGGGGGCGGTGTCTGACGTCCCTTAGTGGGGCGGGGGGCGGTACCTGTAGGTGATCAGGGGTGGGCCTCGGTCCTTGTTGCAGGTCTTATTGATTTGTGGACTGGCTGAGGGAAGTCAGAGTCCATGACAGGATCTGTCCAATGACAACGTTGGTGGTAGCTGCGGTGGGTCATGGAATGTGATGAACTTGCTTCCTAAGCATTCAGAAACTTTGGGGTGTGTCGCGTCGTTGTTTAAATCTTAGTGGGGGTTTTTTGGTCAGTTTTCTTTTTCCTCCTGTGATCCATGAGTGAGTTAGAAGCCGTCCCTCTTTCAAATAACATCTGTGGGTAACTCTCGAGTTAGAAAATTGCTGCATGGCCTAATTCAGATCTTTGGAAATGTCTCATCTTTTACACAGAAGGGTGTGTTCTGTATTGTATTACTGAATTTACTTTTTTATATTACACTGGGTATTTTTTACTGCGTAATTAAAGAGAAAGGTAAACTCAGTGTAAAGATTTGTCCACTTGTCCTGTCGTCTATCAGGTTCTGCTTTAGATATGTAACCTTTTTTCTTTAATCATAAATGGTCACCACTAATTTTTAGAAGAACTCACTTTCCCAAATGCTTTCCAGCACTGGATATTCTGTGTGTGTCTGTGAAGCTTTTACAGTTCTGACAAAAAAAAAAAAAAATGTATCTATTGTTTCAGTGCATTTTTTCTGTTAATAAAATAGGAACCTTTTGGACCGAATGCCACCTAATTCTTTTTTCTATGAATTTTCATAGCCTTTCTTTTTGGTCCTGGGCTTTTGTTTTTGCTATTGATTGCTAGGGTTTTTTTTAACATTAGGGAAAACTTAAGCATTGAAAGTTTTTCTACATGTCTTTATGTTGGTTTTTGAGGGATAGTCTAGCACTTTCTTAGGAAATATCTAGTTAGAAATGTATTGTTTTTCTGTATTGTTTTTGGATTTTTCTCACATTTAGTAAAATCTCTTACCCCCCCACCAAAATGTTATATACTTCTAAAATTTATTTTAATATTCATTGAAGCTTTAAAAATAATATACTGAAATGTTTAGCCCTGCTGGAGTTCAGTCTAGTACAGCGTGTGATTGGGCTGTAGCTTGCTTTGGTCCAGGTGGGTGGCCAGTAATGTGACCACCATTTATGCAGTGAGTGTCTTGTGGCACTTCTGTTACATAAATAAATGTGTTTTACTGACATTATTTCATAGTGTATATAATGGTGTGTGATAATTGCTGACATGTATGCTGTTTCTTGTGTGGCAGAGAGGTGCTGAATACTATATACCCAGCATCTTATTTAATTTTCATAACTCCATAAGGTAGGAACTTTCATTCTCACTTTCAAAGGTAAAACTGAAATATCTTCCTCAAAGCCAAAAGACAGTAAAATAGCAGGTCTTCATTAATGTCACTCCATATACTGTTTTTTTTCCCCACATTTTACTACAACTATCATAGTTTGTATTAAACTTTGTATTTTCAAACGTTGGGTCCTGAACCAGCAGCAACAGCATGACCTAGGCACTCACTGGAAATGCAAACTTTGAAGTTGGTTATGTTCTGAGTGTTTGTGTCCCCTGAAATTCTTACATTAAAATCCTAACCTCTAGAAGTGTAACAATGAAGGTAGGGATTTGGGATGTAATTTTTTGAAAAAGCTTAGAGCTCCCTTCACCCAAAGTCAGTGAGAAGGCTGACAATAAACCAGGAGAGGCTTTCCTGCTGGTACTTTATCTTGGACTTCCCAGTCTCTACAAGGGGAAGTGACATTTTTGTCATTTTTAAGATGCCCAGTCTGTGCTGTTTTGGTTTAGCAGCCATGAGAGGTAAACACAGACCCTGCTCTTGTACTAATGATTCAGAAACTGTGGAGTGAGGCTGTGAATTTTGAACCATAGTTTAGCAAGTCCTGCAGAGATTCAAATGCACACCCTTTGAGGACCACTGCTCTACAGTGCCTGGCTTTGGGGTGTATATGTGGTGATGCTGGAATGACTAACCACGTGGACATTGTCTTACCAGGTTTCTTGGTGCCTTTGGCAGCGCCTTAGCCAGAACTTCCTCCAGACTGCAGCCGACCTCTCCCAGCAACTCTGCTTGACGTCCACGCTCTAGGCTCCTGGAACAGTAAAGGCTGAATACCAGTAGGACTGCACCAGCTAACTGGGCATCTTCCCAGAAATCCCAGTCATGGCTCCAGAGGAAAATGGTTCATGTGAGGTGAGGAGAAGTTGTTGGGGTGGGAATTTGTCCTGGGAGTAGATATCTCTGATCTGTCACCAGAATCTTCAGGGCGGTGGCTGAGGACCACCGAAAGCAGCCAGAGACTCTTGGACCATGCTGAAACATTTAGATTATTTCTGCCAGCAATGAGCAGCAAACACATGGTTTCTTTTTTTTTATGCACACAGAATTGGGGTACATGCCAGAGGTGCAGGGGGTGAGAGGATTCACCAGTGACAGAGTGGGGAACAGAACAGGTGGATCTACTGAAATCCACTGCTGAGGGGAGCAGCAGGCAGGTCAGGAGAGGTCTGCCGTACCACATGGATCAACTCCCTGGCTGGGACTCAACTCATGCTACAGTGGCTGAGATAGTTTCATGATGCTGTGCTTTTAACCTGCTGCACTACCAGGGAGGACCCCAAACACATGGTTTCTATCTTGACATCCATTGTGTGACAGTGGAGAAGTGGAATGTCCAGGAAAGCTGTCCTTTATTTTGCCAACTTACTATGTTAACCTTTTAGTTGAGAATAAAATTCCTGGTTAGAAATCACTTTCATGCAGGATTTTAAACATAATTGTTTCAACTTCCTAAACTGATTCCTCCCATGGGAATGTTTTCTCTAATTTTGGTTCTGAAATTTGTGTTTTCAGATGTTGGTTTTTCTTTATTATTATTATTTTTTAAGATTTATTTATGCATATAAGAACTGGAATATGGGCCAGAGGTGAGGGGGGTGAGAAGACTCACCAGAGACAGTGGGGAGCAGAAAAGGGAGATCTACTGAAAGTCACTGCTGAGGGGAGCAGCAAGTGAAATGAGAGAGGTCTGCTGTTGTTTGTGGGTCAGCTTCCTGGTTGGGGATCAAACTCATGCTACA